GCCATATAGAATAATTTTATGAATGCTTATTGAATGATCGTTTACTTCCCAACTACTTCACATTAAATTTAGCTAATCATATTATTAATATTAATACATCTTCTATTTTCTCTTATACATATCAAAATCACTAAAATTAGCAGAAATGATTACTCTGTCAGCATTCCTTTTTAGTTAGAGAAAGCATCACCTCGATAAGCTGTGGTTATCAACACTTGAGGTTTTGTTTGGGACGGCTTTCTTAATGCTTCTTAAAAAAGTTTTATTAATTTTTGTACTATAAAGTCATTTTAAGAAACAGACCGTTCCGTCCCAAACGAAGCCTGAATCAAATCATCACATTCCAAAAAATAACACTAAATTAGCTGTGGTGGAAAGAAATAACTTGCCTATTTTGATTGTAAAAATAATTTTTGTCACAAAAATTTTGAAAAAGTTACGAGAAAACAGTAACGAAGCAGCAGCAAAATAAAATTGTGATTACTTTTTGAAAAGCAACGAAAAAGCTTTCCTCATAATATCTTCACAATCAATTTTATTAATGCTGCAGCTGTCCCAAACTAACTCCTATATCATTTTTAACTTCATCGTACATCCAACATAAAGGTTATTATTTTTACTGCGCTCACTACTATTTCTGCTTGGTTTGGTGATATGTTTAACGAACTTAATGACTTCAGGAACTAAAACATCTAAGCTCCCAGCTTCATCACGCTGCCAACCACTTCCAGTCTGCAGCGTGTAGAAACCAAGAAGGTGCTTCACAGAGGAAACTGTGAGTCCTTTCTTCCTTTGTTATTCTTCATTCAGAAAATCATATAGTTATAAATCAGAGAAAAACCTTGGAAGATGAGTAGCTAAGAGCTCATTTAAGCTTTCAGATAAAAAAAATACTATTACAAAATGATAATTTTATGTGTGAAACACGAATCGTGATAATTACATCCAATGATCCAACTAATAGAATTAGGCTTCGTTTGGGATGGCTTTCTTCTTGCTTTCTAAAACAGCTTTTTAGTACAAAAATTAAAGAAATTTTTGTACTAGAAAATCATTTTAGAAAACAGTACGAAAGTTGTCCCAAACGAAGCCTTAGACTTTGGCTTCGTTTGGGATGACTTTTGTACTGCTTTTTAAAATGACTTTCTAATACAAAAATTTCAAATTCAAGAAATTTTTGTATTAGCTCTTTTAGAAAGCAAGAAGAAAACCGTCCCAAACAAAACTTTCATTTGGGACAACTTTCTTATTACTTTTTAGTACAAAAACTTTTAATTCAATAATTTATGTTCTAAAAAGTTGCTTTAGATTTCAATGAAAAAGCTGTCCCAAAACAAGTCTAAGTAACATCACAAATTTAAAAAACTCGTATAAAATATGAGGGGCCATAAGATCAAATGAATCTTTGCTTAAGTTTACTTCAATTATAGTTCTTTCTATTGTCAAATTTCAGAAAAAGAAAAACAGAGAGAGCTTAAAAACAGGGGATCTTAATTTTTTTTTTTTTTTTTTTTTTTTGAAGTGCATTGAAGAGTACAAGGAAATATATAAGCGAGGCTATTGTGACCGTTGTGGACCATTTAGGAAGTGTCTCTTCCAAGCTTGAGAAAAAATTTCAAGTAAATAAGGAGGTATCAGAGGTTGAGCAGAGAATTGAGTGCCTGGCGCAGGTCAGTTGACTAACATTACTCTTCTGTGAGACAACTTTCTTATTGCTTCTTAAAGTAATTTTTTAGTAGAAATTTTTTTAATTTTTACACTAAAAAATTGCTTTAAGAAATAGTAAAAAAGCCGCCCCAAATGCCATCGTAGTGCCAACATAAGTATCTAATGTGTTTTTAATTCAAGTAAATAAAATTACGCATAAAGTCTTATTTATATCATCATCATAATGCATCAAGGGCTTGTAAGCACAATGGATTCGTTGTAGACCATTATGCGGATGAAAATGAAGAGGCTCATTTTCATATCACCTAATAGAATGAGTTCACGTCAGTCATATTGATCTTACAAGATGGCCAGGATCATCATAACACCAACAGAAGAATCTAATACTAATTAATATGGATAAATAAGATTATCAACATATTATATCTTAGGGGATTGATGTTGTCATCTACTGAATATGTTCCACTTAACTATATGGGAGATGACTGTGGCTCTTTAGAATGTACATATCATTCTTGCATCATGGCGAATAGAGCCCCCTTTGTTGGCCTTACGGTGGTTGGGCCTGATTTAAGATGGTCAACCAGTGGATTACTTCTTATGCACAAAGGGTATCATAAAATCATTTGTTATTGATTGCATTGAGAATGGTAGATCAATTCAAGTGGGTCTATATGAGAGAGCGGAGTTATCAAGTCCATTGGTACTGATTAAAGACTATTCCATCAAAAGATTGACCCTAATTTTTAAAAAAGTATTTTTGCTTTTTATCTCGGCTGTGAACACTTACTATTTATAACGTAATTCACCCATTTTGTTGAAAAAATATATAAAAACAAAGATGAGAAAGAAAATACACAAAATATTATGTTTTGATGTTAGATCGTTACTGTATTTTAAAGTGAAAAATAAATTTTCGGTTCGAGATGCTGTGAGTTCTGAAGAACATTGAAGAAAAAAAATTTCCTGCACTTTTCTTTTTCTCCTCACATTTTTCAATGGAAAGTGAACTCTAATATGTTTGTAGCTCAAACAGAGAATTCTTACTTGCCAACAATATGCTCTCACTCTTGACCTCTCAAATATAAGATGGAATTTCAATTTTCCAAAGCATCACCAACATTACATTTCTCCATGTAAGTATTCATAAATTGATGCTCCATTTCAATGTTTTTTTTCCTTTCTTTCTGAAGTTTTTAAACATAGTAGCTATTATAAATTTTATTGCAGTACAAACTAATCTTCTTTCCAATACAGCAAGTAATAGCCTTGGAGCAGTAGTCCCAGTCCAACAAGGCGCATCAATGCTTTCAAAGTCCAGCAATTCTTCAATTGGTTCACATGCAATGGTATGCCATTCAAAATTAAGATTTTATTTGAGACAATCTTCTTATTATTTTTTATAATAATTTTCTAACATAAAAATTTTTTACAAAAAATTAGTGATCAAATGCTGTCTCAAACAATGAATAAAACTTTATCATTCAAAATCATTAATTAGATTTTTATTTGTTTTAAGATTATGAGTAGAGCTTGATTTTAGTGACTAACTGAAATGAGAAAATTACCAGTTATTTGATGGGAGACTAATGGAAGTTTGAAAATGATTATGGGCTTATGGCTTCATTTGGGGCAATTTTTAGCCACTTTTTTTGTTGCTTTTATATTATTTTTGTATTGGAAAGCTGTTGTAGAAAGTAAAAAAAAAGCTATTCCAAACGAGACGGCTTTAGTCTTTACAGTAAAAAAAAATTAATTTTTATACTATAAAACTACTTTGAGAAACAGTAAGAAAGTCGTCCCAAATAAAGCTTAAGTTTGATGTTTCCTGGTTTTAAGTTGTTGAATTTTCTTTGCAGGATATAAAGATTATTCAAGGTGTTGATCAGAAGAAGAAGGCTGTTCAGAGAAGCCCCTTCATGTCATTTCTTCGAATCAGCCAAACAAAAAGGAGCAGCAGTCATCCAGAAGTGAAAAAGATTTAAGACTTCAAAAAAAAAATGTTAGGATATCATATTTCAAATGAACTTAAAAATTGTTGAACTTATTTTGAGATTAGTGTTATATATATGAAAAATATGTATAAAAAAAAAATTGAAAAATATGTATGACACTACTTTTAAAGTAAACTCAATAATTTTTAAATCCATCATGATGCAAATTTGTATCAAGATGTTCTGATATTTGACTTTTCGCTCTTCGCACACATCAGTTTGTTATGAATTCCTTTCTTAATGAGAAGTTGTCATGTCTTCATTATCTTTTGTCACGGTGTCCGAATGCATCCGGAGGTTAATCCGAACGTGTCACGTCACCTAATGCACAATATATTGGATAGCATGACACATTAAAATTAATTTCCAGACGGGTTCAGAGACCGCACAGAATAATTTAACAATTTTTTGTGATAATGGTTGTAAAATTATTGTGATAAAAATATTTTTTTAAGTACTATAAAAAACATTTTCAATGCATAAATTTTTTAAAAACAACAAAAAAATAGTAGTCATATTAAAACAGTTCCAAACGAAATCATACAAGTTAAGTGAAATATTTATCTCAAGAATTCATGGAGATTTTATTATGTAAATAATAAAATATAAATATTAAATATGTAATGATATAATTTTAGCAATTATTCATATAAATCCTTCTATTTTAAAATAGTAAACATTTTTTTTTTTCAGCCTTATCTTATCTACAATGCCCTCGGTGAACGTGCGAGCCCAACAGTCCCAAAAAAAACCAAAAATATTATTCTTCTTAAATTTTTATTTCAAAAAATATTTAGATTTATTTAAAGAGAAATGAATATCCGTTTCAAAATGGCCCGGCTATTCATCTAGGGATGCAAAAATAAATACAATTTTTTAATTTTATTTTGATTTTAAGATATTTTCGTTTTTTTTAATTTAAAAATATTTATCTTATATGTCTCACACTATTATAACTCTAACTCTAAGCATTTTTCATTACTAAAATAAATATAACTATAGTCAAATAAATTATAACATTCTATTAAATTTTAATTAGAAGTTGAATTTATTTTGAATTTATTTTAATATTTATATAATATATAATATTATTAAATTTAAATTTCTACTATATTTATTTTAAAATAAATTTAATAACTTAAAAATTTATAATAATAAAAAATGTTATGAAAATTGAAAAGTATATTTATAATTAAAATAAAACAGCTGCTATTTTAACTTTTGGGCAAATTTAATTAAGTGAACTATAATATATCCTTAAAAAAACTACAAACAAAATACGGTTGACAGTCATTTTGTCAATCCCGCGCTTTATAAAACCGCAGGCGCAAAGAAACTTCCCACTTCGTCACGGTGCGCTGGCGGCGTAAGATAGCTAGATAAGTTATGGAGGACGCTAACGTGAGCCATCCGTTGCCTTCCGCAAACCGAAGGTTAAGTAACCTCGCACATCACTTAACCGGCCATTCTCCGGCCATGGCTTCAGAAAGTCATAGCTCCGCTCTCTCGCCGTCGCCGACTGCTGGATCATACGGCGCCGCTGCTTCCGTCTTCGCCGGCATCTTACAGGCACCAGAGGATCCGATTCTTGGAGTAATAACCGTTTATCTTTCTCTTTCTCTTCGATTCTCTTCTGCTTCTCTTAATCTCTCCTTTTAATTTGGGTTCTTTGTGTGGGGGAACGCTTAGGTGACGGTTGCGTACAACAAGGATCCGAGCCCCGTAAAGGTTAATTTGGGCGTTGGCGCCTATCGGACTGAGGTAAGAATCAATGGTATCTATGAATGAGGGGGTCGCAAATCGATGTGTTGATATATTTTATTTGATTGAAATAGGAAGGAAAACCGCTAGTTCTGAACGTAGTGAGGAAAGCCGAGCAGCTGCTGGTCAACGATCCGTATGTATCTCTTTTATACTCTCTGCGGTTTGTATGTTATCTATGTTTTTTAAGTGAATTTGGCAAGGATCAAATGGTTGGGGTAAATTGCTTGTTGCAATTGAGTTTCGTGTAGAAAACGTCTTCTTCTTCATTTCTTCTTTATTTCAATTTGATTAACATCATTTGTTTCGTTGTTCTTTTCTAATTTACGTTTTAGTAACTGGTCATCAGGCGTATCACTAACATGTTAACTGTAATATCTGGCTTTCTATGTACTCTACCTCCATGAATTTTCACATTTGTAGAATGATGCCCGTGCAGAAGTTTTTTTTTTTTTTTCTTTAATGAAATCTTCTCAGGCTTCATCTCTATTATTTTCAAATTTATGAAATGCGAGTATGGGGGAAAGATTGCGGTAACACCTTCAATTACTGCAGATATTGTCATTTATTTGCAAGTTTTGTTCTAAAACAACGAAATATTTATCTGCTAGTATAAACTATTTACGTGTGACTAATCGAGGCACGCTATGTTTAATCTGGTCTACTGCTTTTTTCCAGGGTGCGTGTTAAGGAGTATCTGCCCATCACAGGATTGGCGGATTTCAATAAATTGAGTGCTAAACTTATATTTGGAGCTGACAGGTAAATTTTCCCATGTTCAAGGAAATTTAACCTATAATTGGAGGTGCCATTTGTGTTTAAAATTATACGTCTGTTCTTTGCCAAGCTTGTTCAATATTATGAAGAATTCTATGAAGCTCACTTAATGGGAGACTATTGTTATCAGTGAATTATCATTATAAAAGAGATGTTTTGAAAACTTAATCAGTTATTACTTTCCTTTGATTTGCAGAGCTTAAGTTGGGGCGAATAAACAAAATAGTGGGGTTGGGTGCTGCTTGCATTTTTGATGAGTTAGGTGAATTAGAAGTTAGGATTTAGGATCTCTCCAATTGCTGGCCTTTAGAGATATGAAATCCCAGGTGGTAATCACATCCTTGAAAGGACAATTTATTAAGAAGGAAGAGACAACTTGTTTAAGTTTCTTCTTTTATAATTTAAATTTCTATAAGTATCTAAATAATTAATTTCTTAGGGAAATAGATTGTTATTTGTTGGTGTCTTGCTATATAAGAAAATGACTAATTTGATTTTTGTTACTTTGACCATCATAACAGTATATTAAGGGGCATTTTGGATATAGAATTTAAGTAAGATTTTAGTAGGATTTGAGTTAAATTTTGCCAACGCAAAAAAATGCTGGCTCGAATCTCACTACAAGTAAAATCACTATTTTCCACCTTTTTTACTTAAATACCAGTTAAGTAAATCCTATAGTTTGGTGGATTTACGAGATTTGGCCGAAGAAGCGTGCTAAAAGGGAGAAAGATTGTTACCTTGGCAATGAGCTCCTATTGCGACTTCTGATCCGATAGGAACGTGGGGCGAAGAAGTTTCATTTAACAACTTTTTTTGGCAATGAACAGCTCTGGTCGATGCCTTTATCTTCACAAGTCTCTGGTTTTGTTGTTGCCTTCTCCAACGACCTCCCATTGAGACCTGTTAGCTTCTGTGTCATGGAGGGGCGGGAATTTGTGGGAGAAAAATGAGGGTTTTGAACATTAGACAAACTAAAGTTTATAAGCACAATTTTTGACTTCTTATGTATTACCAGGCCTAAATGTAGATATAATCTTTTTTTTTTCTTTTCTTTTTTTTTCGAGAAATAAGCTTAAACTTAATTTTGGATGAAATTAATACTCTAATAGATATGGACTACTTATACCAAATCAATATGAACTATGAAGGAAATCTATTCACATTTATTAAAATTTAAATTTTTGTTAATAATTTGGATGTCTCTTCTCCTATCACGTTATATCATCCGGGTGAGTTCCAGTCTCAAAATAATGAGTATGATTTAATTATTATAATTAGGATTGATAAAAAATTTTAAATTGAAATTACTGATATTCAATTGTATAAATGAGATACAAATAATTAATCTTAATATTTAAAATTAATTAATTCACAAAACACAAAAAATAAACACTTCAACATGTTATAATTAAAAAGTGCAAATTAAATTTGCATTTTCAGTGAATTAATCGTCTTAAATCTTTAACAATTTTATTGGATTGATCAAAATTTAACATCTTTATTGCCAATCAGTTCCAAGATTTAACAACCTCGGGATTTAATAAATCCAGGTTTATAGGATTTACGAATTCCTACTTGAGCTAAATTCAACTTGAATCCAAACAAGCCCAAAAAGTTCTGTACAACTTAGATTTATTGACTGCTTGCATGGATGACGATGGAATAGCTTGCCACTGGATTGCCTCTGTTTTCCTTCTGATCAAGTTTGCTTATTCGGCACTCTTACTTCCGTAACACTCACTCTACAAACTTATATATTAACCAATATTTAAATATACACAGCTTTTTTTTTTAATTTATTTAAATATCCACAGCTTTTGATGCACCACTATGATATTTCAATGCATCGACCAGGTATTCTTCTACAAGATTTTAGTTCAATATTAATTCTTAAACAACCAAAGCAAACACACAAAAGAATTTTCCTAGCTTTTTTGTGTGAACTTTGTACTATCATTCTGTGCCAACTGGTTTAGCATTTACCATTTATACTTGTTGGAACTCTAGCATTTCTTTGAACATGCAGATTTTACTCCTATTTTTAACTGTTGTGGAGGTAGAGTTCTTTTTTTTTTCCTTAAGCACTTCTGATTATCACTTTTTTGTACTGCTCTCATTCTTGTGTGAAGTTCATCTTCCTTGATAATTTTGCTAAGACTATATTTTGTTCTGCAAACAGCCCTGCCATTCGAGAAAATAGAGTGGCGACAGTGCAATGCTTATCAGGCACTGGATCATTGAGGGTTGGAGGAGAGTTTCTGGCAAGGCATTACCATGAAGTGAGTTCTTCTTTGAAGGCCAAATTTTGTTTTGTGTTATGGAAACTTTCATGTAGTAATTTAGCAATCTTATAAAGTTTCGTTCTTCTATTTTAGAGAACTATCTACATTCCCCAACCAACATGGGGGAACCATCCAAAAATTTTCACATTAGCGGGATTGGCTGTCAAGTACTATCGCTACTATGATCCTGCAACACGAGGACTGAACTTTAATGGTAGGGGTGGCAATATTCTTTCTTTTTTGGGTATGCATGTGAATTTGTTGTAGACCATCCATTTGTTATTTGAAGTTTGTCTTTGGTTTTCCTCCCCCTTTTTTTAGGGATTTTTACATAAATAACATTTTAAACTATTAAAAATACATATTCAACACCTAAAGTTATGTATTTACTAATATACCACCTAAATTTTTTATTTCTTTATATTCTACCACTCCTTTTAAGCTCCATCAGAAATCCCTATCCACCCGTCATCTTCCATTCGTTCGCATGAGGAACCCCATTGCTGGTGAAAAGGGGAGAGCAGACAGCTGGCCTCCAGTGAGATGTTGCATGTGGTGAGCACTCTCCCAGACATTCTCCATTTCTGGCCACATGTATCAACTTGCTCGGCAACATGACCATTGTTGTTTAGAGCTTGGGCATCAAGAAGATCAGACCAGACAGATGGCCCAGAACTAAGTGAAGAAGATTTACCTGCATGTTTTGCTTCAACTAGAGATAGCAAGTCCAATTGTCGTGAGGCTTGGGAGACGTAGGAAGCTTGAAAAGAAGGGTCACATATGTGAGAAATAAATTTTGAATATGGTGTAAGCGAATTTGAGATAAATCCCATAGTTGAAGCCATTGGGGAGGAGTCTGATGCGATCCGCCTCCCGTCAGCAGAGGGAGGGACGGCGACCCGCAGGCGAGCGGAAGTGGCGGGGGGCGTCTGTAGAACTGGACCGGTTGGGCCGGTCCAGGTAGAGCCAGTCCAAGCTGGACCGGCATAACAGATTTCTAGGGTTATGAAAGATTTGAGTTTTCTCTTAGCCTCCTTAGTTTCTTTCTCTTGTTTTTCTAGGGTTTGTAGTTGGAGACCTTGTCCTTCTCGAAGTGGACAAATTGTATATTGTTTTCCCTTGGATTTTGAATGCAAAGGTTCTTGCTCTTCCTCTCATCCCTCTTGTGTTTATTTTCTTGGATTTGGTGGAGAAATCATTTCTTTGAAGGAGCATTAGGGCAAACCCAAACTTGGGAACCCTAGAGCGTATCAGAGTCCCTCCCAGATAAAAGAGAAAGAGAACAGGGTAGGGCATTTTGCCACTGCCCTATGGGATTTTTGAAGTTGAATGTTCTGGGAAAGCAGAATGTTCTGGGAAAGCAGATTGTTCACACCATTCCCACTTTCTCCCATAATTGAAGGTGAATTTTGGAAGAACGGCGGCGAGGAGGGGAAAATGAGTTTGTTCGCGGAGGTGGAAGCTTCGTGCATCGGAGCTTTGGTTCTTTTTCCCCTGTTTCCTGACTCTGATTTCATTCGACGTTCCAACAATCGTACATTTTGGAAGAATCAGAGAAGGGGCAATGAAGATTTTTGTTATCTTACCTTGCATCCGAGAAATTGTTGCAGCCGAGACAGCTGAAGCAGAAGCAAAGGCTCCGCTCACAAACCTTGCAGATGAAAAATGGGATTTTTGACGGGGGTTTTAACGGGGTGTTAGAATAGATGAAAAGTTAGATTTTAGGTGGTATACCAGTAAATATAGAACTTTCGGTGTTGAATATGTATTTTCAATAGTTTTAGCTGTTATGTATGTAAATATTCCTTTTTTTTTAACAACAATTGATCAACTACCATGGAAGAAATATATGGATAGTAGGAAGTTACAAAAGATGCAATCTAACCAAAATGATTTAAAATATTAATCTATGCTGCTTTTTTACAAAGTGACATATGTGCCAATTTATGATACTTACCATTCAGTTTTCCAAAATATTCTGAGCCATTCATATATTTTAGGATAAATGAATTCAAAGGTTTGCATAAAGTTAGAAAGGTTTGAATTCACAGCGGAAAGTTGATCTTATGAATGCATCTCCCATTTCTGAAATATACAAAAAGTCACGAGACCAAATTAAAGTTTTTATTTAATAAAAATTTAAATTTTAATTATACGCCTTTTTTTTTTTTTGTTCTTATATTTTTTTAATTTTTCTTTCAGGTTTTTACAAATGTTGTTTATTTTCATTGATGTAATCATATAGATTAAAATGTGTCAAAAGGAAGAAACATAATATAAATTTTCAAAATTCATCAAAGAATTTCAATATCTCTCTGTAATTATTAATTTCTTTTTGGATATAATTAATGTCATTATTTTATTTAATTTTTCTGTATGATATTTTACATTGTATTTCCTTATTTATATGAAATTATTTATCTGTTGCATGTAACTTGAAAATATTAAATTCAGTAGCTTTTAATTTTATATTTAATGTTTTTATGCATGTGAGACTTAGATATTTTTTATTTAATTTTATAAATTAATTTTGCACTTTAATAATGTTCATATTAATTTTAATATGCTAGCAATCACATGCTCACAGCTACAAGAGCTAGTACATCTGATTATAGAGGTGGAAACGGAACCGTTCAGAATAACCCAGAAAGTCTCGAAAGCATTAAGCTGGACTATATATTGTAATTACTGTTCTCATTTTAAAATTTGACCACAACTCTGCCGCAATCTTCGTTTGCCGACTGTGTAGTGATAGTCTCTTCTTCTTAAACTCCCCAAACTTTGACTTTGTTGTAGCGGGCATCTTGGTTGAATGCTTAAATAGGAGAGCAATTCAAGTCCCTTTAGAATGCACGCATCTTGGTAAAAAATGGTTGTAAGTTTAACTAGAATTTATACAACTAAGTGCAACTTGCTTGTGTCGTTCCAAAGTTATTTAGAAGATTATTCTTTGCGAGTTTTGCTTTTTGTAACACCATCCAAATGAAAAGTTCCGCCATGAGAGGACCGTTTAAATCAGGTGGAGTTCATGTCCATCTTTTCTTGTTGCTGTCAAGATTCGCTCATCATCAAAAATCTCTTTGAGTTTTACCTAAACTTCAGCTTCTGCTTGTTGCATATACTTTTATTCTTGGTTTTTCTTTTATTATTATGCTATTCACTTGCCACTGAACAATCTGTTTCATAACAAGAAAGGTGAAGTCTTGGAAAAGCTCTGCAAATATGGAAATTGTTTCTTTTTTAATACCTTGTTACACATGCCTAAGTTGTAATTTGACTTCTTTGGATTTGTTGATTTTTTATCTACTCCATTGAGTGGAACCATTGCAACTAAATTATCATTATTCTGAAAATTTTTGGGCAGGCCTCCTGGAAGATCTTAGTTCTGCACCAACTGGAGCTATAGTACTCCTGCATGCTTGCGCTCATAACCCTACTGGAGTTGATCCCACCCTTGAACAATGGGAGCAGATTAGGCTGCTGATGAGATCAAAGGAGTTGCTACCTTTCTTTGACAGTGCTTATCAGGTAATTATGAGTATGTACACAACAGAAATATGTTTGGATTTTTTATTTCTTCAATAATTTGGGTCGCAACTCAAGCAAGAAGCTGATAATTTATTCATATTTCGGAATGACACTGCTCAGTCACCATGATTAACTACTGAATGTGATGATCATAGTTGCTTTTGAAAATTTGTAACTCTAATGTGATCATGTATTTAAAGTTTCTTATGGTTTTTCAAACTTCCGTTTAAAAATCTAGTTTTAAGTATATTTTGACTACTCTCTTTTACGCAATTATACATTATCAATCATTGTAAGGTGGTTGCGAACTCGTCTGGTGAAACTATTTTGATTCCCATGAGCTCACATGGTCTTTATATATGTTTTGCTTGGTTTGCATCTTTCTTCATCTATTATCTTATGGAAGATATTTTCTTCAAGGGTTTTGCAAGTGGAAGTCTTGATGCAGATGCACAATCTGTTCGCATTTTTGTTGCCGATGGTGGTGAATGCCTTGCTGCTCAAAGCTATGCCAAGAACATGGGCCTTTATGGAGAACGTGTTGGTGCACTGAGCATTGTAAGAATCTTCTCTCGCAGAGAAATCCATTGTATTGCTGATTATTGCCCTAAGAAAGTGTGATTTTGCTATTCTTAGGTTTCGTTTGGGGCGGCTTTCTTGCTGCTTCTTAAAATAACTTTCTATTATAAAATTTTTAATTTTTTAACGAAAAAGCTATTTTTAGAAGCAGTAAAAAAGCTGTCCCAAATGAAGCCTTAATTTTTATCTAGTAATTTGACAACTTCGTGAATTTGCAAAGTTTCATGTGCTTCCAAATTGTATAACAGGAGTCAGGAAGCATCAAATCTACCCTTACTCCTTAACAGACATTACGTTTGTATTTCTTACGTCAAGATGCTTTCTATTTCTTGCAGGTGTGCAAATCTTCTGATGTGGCAGCCAGAGTTGAGAGTCAGCTGAAGCTTGTGATCAGGCCTATGTATTCAAACCCTCCTATTCATGGTGCATCCATTGTGGCCACAATTCTGAAAAACAGGTATGGATCTTCTTTAATCATCACGCTGGTTTGCTAAGGGTTTGAAAGTCTTACATCTAGTGCACACCTGTTGGTTTTTTTAAATTGTGGAAAATGGAACCAATTTATTTAATTTTTACTTTCTCATAATTGGGTTTGCATAAGTGTCCTTACAAAAAAGCAAATAATGACACTTCATTAGTAGTATGAATGAGGTTGAACCTTGGCATTCAAACAAATTTGTAACAATTGCTGAACTGTGCCTTGTTTTTATTGACAATATGCTAAAGATTTGAACTAATTCAACCTTAACAATTAATAACACTCGGAAGATTTACATACATACCACTTTATTTGGGAAGTGAACTCATTTTCTTTAATTTTTACTTTCTCATAATTGGGTTTGCATAAGTGTCCTTACGAAGAAGCAGATAATGACACTTCGGCTTCGTTTGGGACGGTTTTTTTACTGCTTCTTAAAGCAGCTTTTTAGTACAAAAATTTTAACTTTTGTAATAGAAAGTTGTTGTAAGAAACAGTAAGAAAGTTGTCCCAAACGAAGCCTTCGTTAGTAGTATGAATGAGGTTAAACCTTGGCATTCAAACAAATTTGTAACAATTGCTGAACTTTGCCTTGTTTTTAATGACAATATGTGAAAGATTTGAACTAATTCAACCTTAACAATTAGTACTCTCTTGCTCTTATGCAGTATAAAGATAGGTTATGTTTCCAAACAAGATATAGTATTCCAGAACCCAGTTTCATCGGGGAAAATGCTTGTAGTTTGACTTAAATGGAGAAGTCAAACGAACTAGTTTGGCATTCATTTTGACCATTCTTATTGTTTTAAAGATGTCATTGAACAAGTCCTTTCCCAATGCTGATTCTTTTTATTTTAAAATGTTTGTTTGATATCTTAAGTAGCTTTTGTTACTTTCTCCTTCTTGCTTTCCCCACAAATATCTTACTTTAGTTTTAGCAAATACAAAATCTTGACTATGAACTTTTGCAGTGAGATGTACAATGAATGGACGGCTGAGCTGAAAATGATGGCTGATCGTATAATCAGCATGCGTAAACAGCTGTTTGGCGCTCTGCATGAAAGAGGTAAATAAAATTCTTTCATTGTTTTTTGTATATTGAAATCGTGTTTGAAGCCTTTTTTTTTGGGGGGGAGATTTACATACATATCACTTTATAACACTTAAAATTTTAATATTACATACATACCACCCATAGTTTATTTTCATATCAAATATAAGCAGTAGAAATGAAATATATGAAAGTGATAGGAAGTAAATATGAGTGGTATATTTGATATTAAAATAATATAGGGTGATATGTATGTAATATTAAAATTTTGGATGTTAGATATGTAAATAGGATGGTATAAAATGATATGTATGTAAATTTCCTTTTTTTTTTTAATGTGGCTGGGACCTAAAAGTGATGAAAAATCATCTAATTAAGGCTCACTTTGAGATTCAAATTTGGAAGCAATGGAAGTGGGTGGACCACCTAGCGTACTTATTTTGATTAGACAAGCAGCCCGTGATGTTCACAACTTGTTGCAAGCCGTGTTCTTTTATTTGGCAAAAAAGGAGAGATTAAGGTGGAAATCAAGGAGATGATCCTAAAATTACCTAATTCAAGAAGCCAGCAGCAAGGTGCTCATCCTTGTGTTGACCCTTATGTTATACCCAAAGGAAACAAAGGGAGATGAAATCAAAGCAGAAATCCAGCATACATTCATCACATACCTCGTATATGTCGAGAAATCACCCAAATCTCCCGAAATCCCATTGGGAGGGGTAATTAACTATAGGGGCTTGCGCCTATAGGAAACCAGAACTCAGATCATAAAGTCCTCGCAAAATGAGGGCGAAATCTCTGGGTAGTGTCTTATCTACAAACCCATCTGCCTTCCAAAATTTACCTCGGAACTTAGTTCGTTAAAACTCCCTCGCCGAATAAGAAAAGCGAGCGGAGGCCGAGGCCGAATTTTCGGAGCCCACACCTTGTCACATAAAGCACTAATTTATTAAAAACTATTAAATACTATCCTAACTGAATTTATCAAAGATCTTAAACACATTAATCGTTGCATAATAAAGATAGAACTATGCAAATAGAACCATCCTGGTTTAATAATTAAAAAATCTGACACTGAAAAGATGATAATTTATTAAGTAGAGTTTGTTAGTATGTAGATTTTCATATTTTTAGTCGTATGAGAGTTAGATGATTGCTTATATGCACAATCCATAACAAATTATGTGAATAAAATTTTGACAGAAATACAAACAAATAGCCTAACATCACGAAGAAAGTTTTTCATCACATAATTTATAAAATGTACAAGACAACTAGAAAAAAAAGGGGTAAAAGAAGAATGATGAATTTACTGCCCTTTGCAAACCGGAGGTTAAGTTTTGGTTCTAAAATTTGAATGAGAGAAGGTCAAAAGGAGGGAGCAAAAAGGTTGGATTATTTTTTTCTTTTTAGAACGAGAAGACCAACAGATGATAAAGTCAGAAGAATTGATGATTTTTTTTTTTTTTTTTTTTTTTTTTTTTTTTTTTTGTTCTTTAGTTCATGGTTCACCCTATACTATATGTAACACAACAAGTAAAGGTCCGTACTGTGTTGAGCGCTGTTAAGGCACAACTATGGCACCCTATTTAGACACCTTAACATGGGGGTATCCAAATTGGTGACAATTAATAGGAAATAGGTGGAAAACAATAGCAATCAAATAAATATGAGTCCAAGTTGTTGATATTGAAACATTAAGACCTCGGATTATTGAATATTGTGGCAAAATTAGGAAGTCAGATCATGATTTTACAGCGATACTCAGTGAATTTACCATAATTTCTATAATTAAATCAATAATGAAAATTTATATATACTGAGCATGAATGACAATCATATACTTTACATCACAAATAACAAATTTATTTAAAAACCAATATATAATTCATGTAAATGCTGAAACATGCACTGCAACAAATTCAAAGAATGCATTCATGAGAAATTTCTAATAATTAAATCATGAAGAGTAGGTGAATTAGTAAACTTTAGAATCAAACTTTATGAACTCTTCATGAAGGTTTTCGTACCAACCCAAGTACTAACAGAATTTTAAAAGATGTATTTATGCTATGCCAAACTGTCAGTCAAAATATCTTTAGCAATACTGACCAATTTAATCTTCACATATTTAATATACTCTTGATTACTCATTATGTTGTAATGAAAGAGATTTTTAATTTTATATATCCAATTAAAAAAAAGCATTCTATCATATCAGCAATCATAGAAGTTCACATTAAACGGAGGCCTTCCGATGACCGGGTTAGGAAAGTTGAGGTATTAGATTTGACTTATGCTAAGAAAGATAGGTAGACTTAAAAAGACTTGGTTAGAAAATATTAGAAATGATCTTTCTTTATTAGATTTAAACCCGTACTGACAAAAAAGGATTCATGTAGCCAACCCCATATAGTGGGACAAAGGCTTGATGTTGTTGTTTTTGTCTGTTGGTCAGGGCAAACTGTTTGGGAGGAGAGAGAAGCATACACATGGGTAAGAAAACATGTATATGATGTGAGTGTAGAGTTGTAGGAAATTGATGAAATCAATGAAAAAAGAAAATTATGAAAATACTATATGTTGACTAGTTTGACTCATTGGTTAGCCATACGGACGATATTGCATCACATGCAGGACGAATATCATGGGGCTCTAAAAACTAAGCTAAAGCTGCTCAAACGAAGCACGATATAAGCACCTTGTAAGAAACATGCTCTGTTATTAGTCTTACGTAATCCATGTAATGAACAAACTGAACAAAGAGAAGGTGTGTCCTCTGCCTGTGAAATTGTTGCAATTTAGGCCTAGTTTGATTGGACTTTTTTTGTGCTTATTCTTTTTAAAACGATAAATTTAATGTTTGGTTCCTCAAACAACGTTCTCAGTAATATCATTTTTTTCATTTTTCTACTGTTTTGAGAGAGCTTTTTATATGTGATTCTTCATTAGAAAACTCATTTCTTTGAACCGATATTTCTTAAAACTATCTATTACAGAAGTACAAAATAACCAAACGAAGCCTTATTTGGTTCGGATACCGTTTGAGATATGAGATATGTTTGGTACAAAGATGACGCAGCAATACTTACGGACATGCATTCTCAAGACGATAGCTATGAATCTTCTACCCTGCATTAATTCTCAAACGACCTCTCTATGCTTACAGGTACACCAGGTGATTGGAGTCACATTATCAAGCAGATTGGGATGTTTACCTTCACCGGCCTTAACAGGGAGCAAGTCGCTTTCATGACCAAGGAATTTCACATTTATATGACTTCTGATGGGTGATGATCCTCTCTCTCTCTCTCTCTCTCTCTCTCTCTCTCTCTCTCTCTCTCTCTCTCTCTCTCTCCGGTTTATACTTATCAAAAACATCATTAGTAATTTCTATTGTCTAGAGCTATGGTTCACGTCTATGCTATTCAATATTTCAAATAATTATCTTTTATTGTCATATTTCTTTTTTATTTAAACTGAAAAGTTAAAAGGGAGACTATTTTTATGCAGCCAATTTATTAGTCTCCAAGTATCATATTTCTTCAATTTATTTCCCTCTGCTATAAAAAATTGATCCCAAATGATCCCTCAAAGACTAAATTGAGATCAATTTTATATTGTTGAGGGGCTAATTTGGAATCAATTTTATCCCAATTTTCTTTGAATACTACTAAGGGACTATTTAGGATCAATTTTATATAATCAATTGATTAGATTGGAGAAATGTAATATTCTAAGACTAAATTGATCACATACAAATAATTGGAGAACTATCATCCGAATTGAGTTTTTATTTGAGTAGATCTAAAACCGAATATATGGAGTGTAATTTTAGTAGTAATAGATCTAGTGAGGGGACTGTGACTTTGGGCGATCAAGTTATTACTGAGAGTACACGTTTTAGATTTGCTGAGTCTATTGTTCAAAATGATGGTGAAATGGATGGGGATATTATTAGTAGAATTTAAGTTGGATGGTTGAAGTGGAGGAATGCATCGGGATTGTTTTGTGATAGAAAAGTCCCCCTCAAATTTAAGGGAAAATTCTATAAGATGGTGGTTAAACCTGCAAATGCTTTATGGTGTAGATTGTTGGCTAGTAAAGAGAAACATAATATTAAGTTAATGTTGCAGAGATTAGAATGCTCAGGTGGATGAGTGGCTTTATTCTTAGAGATAGGATACGAAATGAGCTTATACATGAAAATGTTGGAGTAGTTCCAGTGGAAAATAAGATTAGAGAGAGTCGCCTTAGCTGGTTTGGTCACATAAAATAGCGGCCTTCTAATGACCCAGTTAGGAAAGTAGATGTATTAGATTTAACTTACGTTAAGAAAGGTAGAGATAGACCTAAAAATACTTGATTATAAAATATTAGAAATGATCTTTATTTATTAAGACTTAAATGAGAATTTGACTCTTAATATGACACAATAGAGAAAAATGATTCATGTAGCTGACCACATATAGTAGGATAAAAACTTGATGTTGTTGTAGTACTTACAATAACGAAGAAGTTTCTCATGTTTGGCTTGCAGGCGAATCAGTATGGCCGGTTTGAGCTCAAAAACAGTTCCTCATCTCTCAGATGCCATACATGCTGCTGTTACTCGCATTAACTAACTGGCAGAATTATTTTTCCCCTATGCCCTTCTCGGCAGATAGCAACGGTAACAATATAGTAACAAAATAAGTTTGCGAATACTGTTTTATTGGGAGGTTGTAACACTGCTTTTGATGAACACTTCTGTGTTCTGTTTCGTGAATACTTCAAACAAGAGTTCTGTTAATTTCAATAAATCTTGAAAAGCAGCAGGTGTTGAGTGTTTTTGCTCCGAGCTTATAAGTTTCAAGTTTTTCTGATGATTGTAAGCATATTTTTATTGGACCGTTTTAAAAGAATATTTTTGTGGTCTTAACTTTGTATTTCTGACATCATCGGGCTTAGCTGGGTTGGTGGGCGAACGTGATTGGGAACCTTTCAACTCACATTTGATTCCTCTCTCAAGAGTGACAACTCATTAAGCGGCGCGACTCCTTAAGTAGGCCCGTCAAGGAATTAGTTATTCCGTCAAACGCCTCCTCTATGGGAGTGGCATCAAATACATGTTCCAAAAAAAAAAAAAAATCTTTCTATTTCTAAAATAACTGTGGAATGCAGTATTACTTTGTTATTTTAACCATTGAGATGTAAATTAATGATTTGACCTGCCAATTCATCATTTCTTACATGTTTTAAGCGCATCTCCAACCGAAAACCCCATTTTCCACTGCAAAATACTGCAAAACTTCAAAATGCGGTAATTATGCTCCAATCATACTCCATTTCGCGTGCTTCATCGTCTCGTAATCGTCTTTCTCCATTTCGCGGGCAAATCCCGTTGACATATATAAATTTAGGGGGTGAACAGTGTGACGCCAATATTGACGTCGCACTGTTCACCGTGATGACATAGGGGCAAAATTGCTTCTTGGTTGGAACGACAGAAGAATTATTTACCGTTCCATTGGAGAAGCCCTTAATTGTTAAATTCACATGAGTGAACTTAGATTAGTATTTAAACTCTTACAAGTTTCTTTAGCCTTAATTTAATCAATTTAGTCATCTTGATATTATTTTTACATGAATTTGATGACAATATTTTATAATCTTCTCACACAAATAATTATTTATGTACCCCCATGAGCAATGATGATTTTAACTTCTATGTATAAAAAAATTGCAAATTGAAAATTCAGAAAAAAAAAATTTAATATAATTTTATGCAAATATTTTTCTTTAAAAAAATTGCATTTAATTACTTTTAAAATGTCCCAAAATTAGTCATTAGGAAATTAATTTTAATTGCATGTCAATTTTATTTGTTCTTTTCATTATATCCATAAATTTCAATAGAATGATTAAATTAAGAGAAATAAATCATTAGTTATTACTTTGGATGAAATTCATGATGCTCTTTATTATGTTTAAACAGGAGTTTCTATTTTAATATATATCACTATGATTATGATATTATATATATATATTGTATCTTAAAATTTTAATAAGTAGGAATTTTTTTTACCTTAAAATTATTTGTATTTATGCATATACTAAAAGATTATTAGTAGAATGCTATATTTTATTCCATTCTTATTAATATTTGTCATAATTAAATGAGCACTTATGTATATCAGTATTTAATTCAATGATAATAAAACTTTTTTGATAATTCTTTTACAAGAATTATTGAGAATGCACATTTGCAAGAAGATTAGTGGCCTCATAGTTCTCTCATCAAATTTTGATTAAAATATTTGAAAAAATAAAAGATTTTGAATACATTTTCATGACATATCAGGATTTGAGGAACAAAACTTTCCCCCAGAAATCATAAAAAAATATAGGCTAAAATAAGGTTAGATTGCAGAATATAGTGTATTCGAATAATCCAGACAAAAATTGTTCCATAAAATTCTAATAATTAGTAGGAGAGACCATTCAGCTTATCAAATTACTCAGCTCAACAGCCTCTGAAGTCTGAAGCCCATAACAGTAAATTAGAACAGAAAGAAGACTCCATTCCCAAGTAACAGAAGCAGTATATGTATATATATAACTAATCGATAAGTAGTAATATCATTTACCAGCCTCAGGAGTTCCAGGAGGCTTGGGTGTTTGGCCAGCAGAAGAATTTCCAATATTACTGGCTGTCTTCTTCTGCTTCACAAGTGGGACTAATGACTGCACAACATCCGCCATTAGAGGCCTGTAATCAGCTTCAGGTTGTACGCACATAGCTGCAATGGCTGCAACTTGTATGGCATCTTTCATAGAATATTGGCCTTCCAATGCAGGATCCATGATTTGAACGACTTTCTCCCTGTCTGTAAGTTTAGGGAGAGCCTGACAAAAATTAGCCAAATAAATGATAAAGCAAAAGTTAGCTTAGATTATAAATGTGATTGGCATTCCAGAAAATTCAACAATTGAAATCATTTAGTTCAGCCGTCTACTTCTTATGTGATCCTGTTATGAGAAATAATGGTCTACAAGCCAAAAAATACTACTAAATAGTTTGCACTCAAATCAAAACTTTCCATACATAACACCTAAAACTATTGAAAATACATATTTAACACCTAAACTTCTATATTTGCTAATATACCACTTAAAACCCCTCTTTTAATCAATTCTAACAATCCGTTTAAATCTTCCGTAAAAAATCACTACCAATGACTGCCTCTTCGTCAATGTCATCCTTTCATAGTGAATAAAAGTATCTCATCACTTCAATGGAGTGGCAGAATAGAAGGAATGGGGGATTTTAGGTGGTATATTAATAAATATAGAAGTTTATGTGTTAAATATGTATTTTCAATAGTTTTAGGTGGTATGTATGTAAAAATTCCTTCTTTTAAACGTTATGGCATGGCGAGGCAAAAGGGATACACACCCAGGATACCAGGACACCTTCTCCAGGAGGCCTCTTCATATCAACAGGAACCCTGCCTGTAAGAAGTTCCAAGAGCACAACTCCATAGCTGTACACATCTGATTTTGTTGTCAAATGTCCAGTTAAAGCATATCTGCAACAACAATTAGTCGAGACACATTTGATATACGAAACTTACAAGAAAATTTTAGACTTTCGATAATCAGAAAAGAAGAATTGTAATTTACTCTGGCGCAACGTATCCTTGTGTTCCTAAAACTCGTGTGGAAACATGGCCTCCAGCTTTTTCAGGTCCAAGCTTGGCTAAGCCAAAGTCAGAAACTTTGGCATGGAAATTCTTATCTAAGAGGATGTTGCTGCTCTTGAAATCTCGATGAATTACAGGCGGGCTAACACGCTCATGAAGGTATTCCAGCCCTCTTGCAGCTTCAAGAGCCATTATCATCCGTGTTTCCCAGTCCAACTTTGAAACACCACCACAGGAACCTGGAGTGGGTGTTGGGGTGGGGCATCAAAATTAGGAGAGTCAAATAGGAGATTAAAGTAACATTTGAACCTTTCAAGCCACTCAACTTAAGTTCCTTTTAATATATTGATAAGTAAATAGAATAAAAGTACTGATGTTTCACTAAAAGTTCATGAAAACAAAGCTTTATGAATCTGAATATTAGATGATCCAACAATGAAGATGATGTGCCCATACTTTTCAAAAAATAATAGAAAAGTAGAAACCTTGCAAAAAATAATCATGAGTGCCATCCATCTCCATATAAGCAAAAATATATATACTGCCAAGACATGACAGAATATTATAATTAGTCCACATCAAAAAGATAAAAAATATATTAATGTATGAATAACAAGTAATTGACCCCCCCTCCCCCCCAACTCTTTAGAACACATTCCCTAACAAATTGTATAAAAGACAATAGTTCAACTGGGTCAAGTGGTTTATGAGATTTATGGCTCTCACTGGTTTTGGCCCTTTCTTCTATGATTGAGCAAGGTTCAAGTGCGGTCACGCCTTTGAGGAGGACTACAAAATTAAGTAGTCTGTTAATGCAAGATACTTTATTGAAAAAACCTTCCCTTCGCATGGGACCGGGGAGTAATAGTTGATGCAAAAGGTTCTCATTTGAAGAGTGATATAGTTGAGGCATAATAGAGTACTGAGTTTAGTACATCGAGTTGATTAAAAATATGTTGGAGTACTCAAAACATGTTATAGGTAGTCGCTCATAGTCTTAAGTTTTTAATCAAACATGGGTTTAACCTACCGTATCTAGCCCAATTTAATGCCTTTTTGGAAGATGCCTTTTTGGTGACTTATAACAAAGGAAGATAAATATACGACGAACATGTAGAAGAGGGTAACAAAAAAAGCCAAAACAACCATTACTAAAAAAACTACATCATCATTAAAGCTAAACCTCCATCTCAAAATATCTTTCAATAATTGAGAAAAGATAAAACAAAAAAGTAGTAACATAACCCAAATATTTTATCTTTAAGCCAGATTTCCATAGAACATGGACAAAAAAAGTTAAGGTTCACCAACCATCTAGAGATGTCCACAAAACATAGCATTTCAAGTTTAGTGGCGTCGCCTCTAAACAAAGTAAATATTAAGCAATTACTATAATCAAAAAATAACTTTTACATATGAATAAAGGCTAGGAAGAATGAGATATTTGCAAAATTATTTGCTAGGAATCTTACAGAATAGTAATAAATTATTACTAAGAGTTCATGACAAAATAAAATCAAAACAGACCCAAAAAGGTTGTGAAACTGTAATTGATGGTGGTAATGATAGTTTAATGAAAATATCTATATGTAGAAATTAAAATTTTCATTCAGAACCAAACCATCAAGGCTGAAATTTAAACTATAAACATTAAAAAAATTTAGCTTCAAATGTCTTGCATAGTCTCCATTTACTAGCATGTTAGCAACATTAGCAGAATTTCAACATAGATATGGACACATAAGCAACACTTATTAAATAACCTTTTAAAACACCCAATAACTTTCAGTGAAGATGCAGCTCAATGAGAAAGTAAACACTTTTTTTCTCAAAAACCCCCCAGTCACTAAGGTCAACAAAGTAGAAAAAGTAAAAGCTCAAAACAGCACCAATTGTCTGCTTGAAAAGGATCCAATAACAGCACATCTACTGCCCGAACAGAAACAAAACAGGCTCAACTGTATAAAAAATATAAATGCTTGAGAGTTGAGACCCAGCCCTAAAAGTTAACGTGATCCATCAAATACCTCAAAGCTTCCGATTCGGCTAATCAATGAATTCAAAAAAAAAAAAAAAACCACATTTGGAAGAAACTGCGGTGAAATGATCCAAAAAAGAACAATTTTTGCTCACCTGCAGTTGGGTATAAGTGCTCCTGGAGTCCACCATTAGCCATGAACTCGTACACAAGTAATCTGTGATGACTATCGGAGCAGTAGCCAATCAGTCCCAGTAAATATTGAGACCGGAGACGAGTGAGTAGCTCTACCTGTCATAGAACACAAACTTCAAACCACTCCATAAAAAGAACAATAGTTACAGAGAACGAGAAGAGAGGAGCGACCTCCATCTTGAACTCCTCTTCCCCCTGCTTCCCGGGGCGATCCATAAGCTTAACGGCGATCTTCCTCCCGTCAGGAAGAACTCCCCTATACACCGAACCAAAGCTTCCATGACCAACGATATTGGCCTTACCGAACCCGGCCGTCGCCATATGGAGCTGCTTGTACGTGAACACCTGAACACCCCTCTCGCTTACCACAGCTCTAACCTCGCCGCTGTCACCACCCACGGCATTACCCTCCTCTTCAACCTCACCTTCCCCAGAAACGCATAAACAGAGCATCTCAAAGTAAATAAATAGACGAACTCAAAAAAACAAGAACGATTAATCGAGAAAGGGGAAGCGAACTCACTTCTCAATGCCTTCCGGTGGATGGAGACTTTGTAGCGAATATAGCAGTAGTAACTAAACGCGATCAGCAGCGAGGAAGTTGCGAGGACAGCGAGGACGACGATGAGCACTAGCGCAAGTTTCTCCTTCCTCCAGTCCTCGCTGTCCATTTTCCTCGCCGGAACCCTAACTCTATGGCACTGACGGTAATCGGAGCTCGAACTTCGGCGGTGGAAGTGGCGGGTACTACGAGCTGCTTGATTTGACTGAACGAAAGCAGAAGAGCGTGGGGAAACAAATAAATATATAAATCAACAAAATCCTCCGTATTTACTGTCTGAAAATACTTTTTTATCAAAATAATTAAAAGCGTTTCATTTATATTTTTATTTTTAATATTTGTTATAAATAAATAATTAATAAATTTTCAAAATCAGGATTTACATACAGCAAATCAGATTATTTATAATTTAGCCAAAGTGAAAATTAAAAGAACTTTATATAATTTCAATATTTTTTTATAAATTTGACAAATAACCCATAAACTAATTAATTTGAGTGCTAAATACATTTTTTAAATAATATTATATAAATTATTTGACATTAGCATCATCAATTATAAATTAATAAGTTATAAAAAACCGTTAACCTCAATTAGGGCTGCAAGCGAACCAAATGTTCAATGAGCTACTCGTTATTCGGTTCGATTAAAGCTCTTTTATGATCGTTTAATTAACTAAACAAATAAATTTGAATAATATTTTAAATACTCGATTCTTAAATAAACAAACTTGAACACTAATGCGTTCGATTCATTTATGTTCTCAAACAACATCATTTGAAGTTCGTGAACAAGCTCGACATTTAGCTCGATAAAA